CCCCAAAACCCCAAAACCCCAAAACCCCATGGACTAAAAATCTATAAAAAGATAGAGCAATTTTATCAAATTTAATACTTTTAAAATGGATTCACATTATGCTAGAGCTCCTAATCATGAAATGTAACTCATCTCTCTACTAGTAGGATGCACTAATTATCCTGACTATGAATCTGCTAAGCCTGCTATTGATTTGAGAAGAGTAAAAAATTATTTGAAGACTATTTAATTTGAGTCCACAGAGATCATAAATCCAACTATTATCGATTTTAAAGCTGAATTAACAAAAATCTAGTAGACAATGCCTACTGTTTCACATAGTGTGCTTTTTATCTATTTTTCTGGAAAAGCCAAAATAATTAACGACAAAACCTGTTTAATTTTAATGAATAGAGATGGTTAAGAACTTGAGTTAGATGTGATTGATCATTTAAAAAGCGAGGGCTACAACTAGAATTATGAAATAGTATTCTTAAAAGATATTGATGTTCCTGGTCATCAGTAAGAAAATCATTTGCATGAGCATAACTTGAATCGGGCAATCAATGTATCGATAGTTCAAAAGTTAAAAAGTATAGAAATGATCTCAAGCAGCTAGGATTTTAAAGATCAAGACCTGTTTGGTAAGAGCTAGGGATCTTTTCTGACTGAGTTAATTTTAGCAGATTTTCAATCCTTGCTTTCAAAAAATATTTCAACAAAAACCCAAATGAGTAAAAAATAGTCTCAAAACAAATAAAATGACTTTAATTAAGTTGCATTTGAAAGGTTTCTTCAACTTTACTTTCCAACTAGTTATTCTGTGATACTATATTCCGAGATAAAATAATTCGTTCAAACCACAAAACTTAATGTTAAATAATTAGATTAGATGTAAATCAATAACTTCAGTAAAGGTTGGGGAATCAAAACTTCAACTAATTAGAAACAGGCATTACCTTCGGTTTTATATGCAAAAATATCTAATGTAGTTTGCTAAGAATTTATGGAGTTAGTTAAGGATGACAAAATAGCTAATCAATTTTGCAGATTTGATCACTCTATCTAGATAACTGATTAGAGATAAGACTTGAAAATTCAGGAACTAGTAGACTTTTTTAATATTGAAAACAATTACTTATTCTTTGAAGATAATTCAATGAGCGATATTATGGAAAGATGCAGCATCAAGAACTTCTATCTAGTATCAAATGAGGAAATGGCAATTATTTTTGATGGATAAAAATTTGAGAAAATATTTGAGTACTAGACACTTAGTATTGATGGTGAGCACCTTGGTCAGATTAGACAAGTACATTTAGATTATTATCTAAAAGAAGTAATAATACTATTTCAAAATGGGGATATATAGTTCATTAGCATTGTTTCAGGTGATTGCACCAAAACCATAAGTAGACAATTCCTAAAGGGGGGGCAATATGTAACATCTATTTTGCCTGTTCACAATGGAAAATCACTTATATTCGGTACAAACACTGGATATATTAATACCTTTGAATACATAAAATCATCAAGTGATTTAACCTACGGGAATTATGCTATTAATAAAGATGTAACTGAAAATGGTGTAGTATCAGAAGTAAAGGACATGATATTTTATAAAGATGCAATATTCTTAGCAATTATCGCAAACTATGTGAGTATTTTCAGGTATGATTCTAACTACCAAAAGTGCTATAGCAATATAATCTATCTCAAATCTATAAAATTTGAATTCAATCTCAACAAACTAAAGCTATCACATACTGGCCATTTAATTGCTATTGAAACATTTCATTACTATATTTTAGGGGAAAACTTTGACGATATTGCTTTCTTGCAAGATCCATACATGCAAAATGTTCCTATAAAGCAGGGTACTCATCACTAATTTGATGCAGGAGATTACATAAATCACAAGGATTTGAAAAAGCAAGTATATTTAACAGCAAATGAAAATACCATATTTTGTAACACTCATAATGTAGATGGTAATTAGTATTAAATCTAAATCTATTCTAATAATTACCATGAAGTTGAATTTACAGATGGTCCTTTATTCAATAGAATTAAAAAAGATTTGATGATTATACCGACTAAGAGAAATGATGGAACATATCTTGATTTTTACGAACTAGAAAACCCTTTATTTGAATTTGTAATTCCAACTATGCAATAAAATCCCAATAATTGATATTGATTTATAAATTAGCAAAGAGCAAATTTAATTCTTTATATTGACCTTTGGGGTTTTGGGGTTTTGGGGTTTTGGGG